ACTTGGGTATACCCAACAGGCCTCTGGCCTTCTTACAGGGTGCCCAAGGAGGGCTTTGAGGTTTTAGTGCTCGTCATTGTTTTGTACTATGTGCGTGTTGCTATGGTTACCCTTCTCCATATACAGAGGAAGTGACGCGTGTCATGGTGAAGCTACGTCAGGAGTGGACGGAAACCCTGGATGGGTTCCTGCTACCTCGTGACATCATCAGTTATGGCAAGGAAATTGGCCGAGGTCAGTGCCTAATGCTGATTGTGGTGTAGTTGCTGGTGGTGCTGGTAGTGCTGGTAGTGCTGGTGGTGCACATGTGTGTGTGTGTGTGTGTGTGTGTGTGTGTGTGTGTATGTGTGTGTGTGTATTGTGTGTGTGCGTGGGTGCGTGCGTGTGGTGTGGTGTGGTGTGGTGTGGGCGTTTGATATTGCTAGTGAGTACCCAATACTGATATGCTGGTATGTCAGTGAGTGCTATGGGAGCTGTCAATGATGCCCTATTGTTGTCCTGTTACACGTTCTTTAATAGTCCATCGTGTCCGGCTGAAACTGCGATGTGTTGGCTGCAGGTGCTTTTGGCCGAGTGCTGAAAGGATCAATTGTCTACGGGGATGCAGAGCGCGAGGTGGCTATCAAAACCCTGAAATGTAAGTACATGTATACGAGTGTTGAGCTAGAGAGCAGGTCGGGATTCCCCAGCGGACTGCCTTGACATGTGTGCGCAGGGCAGTAACACGTGTGATAGGTGTTGTCAAAATCCTTCTTCCATAATGAATACTATAAAACCCGTGTGTTCTGGAAGTGTGAGGGTCCAGTCGTATCATAGTCTTCCATACAGTTTGTGTATAACATGGCGGGGGACGTGTGCCCTCCTCAGCAGTAAATATGCGTTGGTAGCTACAAAGTTGGTCCGGTATTAACCTGACCAACCGGACCGGTTCAGGAGGGCCTGTTAGTATTGTGCTGCACAAACAGGGCTGCTGGGCGAGGCAGCTCGAGAGCTGAGTTCTCACTACACTAACGTGCAGAGCAATGTACACTAACAGCGGAGGTGACAGGCTGTGTGGCTGTAACTTGAAGCATTTCACGTTTCTCAGCGATCGTCGGACAGCGACATTCACAAATGTGTTTGTGTATGTGCGTGCGTGTGTGTACATGTGCATCTGTATGTGTTTCGCATGTGTGTGTGTGTGTGTGTGTGTGTGTGTGTGTGTGTGCGCACGCGTGCATGCATGTGCATGTGCGTGTGTGGATGTAAATATTCTTGTTTTCTGCAGCTGTATCGGCACAGAGCGATCTCTATGAATTCCTAGAAGAGGCCGTCGTCATGAAAGAGTTTGATCACCCGAACGTGGTGGCACTGATGGGGGTTTGCATTGAAGGTGACCAGCCGCCCATGGTATGCCTGGAGATGATGCACAATGGGGACTTACGCTCGTACCTGCGCCGCTCCCGGGGCCTTGAACCCCAGCATGGCCCCGTTGGGGAAATGTCTGTGGCTCAGCTGTTGGAATTCTGCGCCATGATACTCGACGGAATGACGTACCTATCCGCCCAGAACTTTGTCCATCGTGATTTGGCTACACGAAACTGCATGTAAGGTTTTGTTCTGTGTGTGTGGGGGGGGGGGGGGGGGGGTGTGCGTGCGCATGGGTGCGTGTATGCGTGCGTGTGTGTGTGTGTGTGTGTGTGTGTGTTTGGTTGTTTGGCCTAGATCACATCCTATTCAATGTTTTGAATACAGGCCAGGCGGAACCGGTCCGGTTGGTCAGGCCATGGCCGGACCAACTTTTTGGCCACCAATGCCGGTGTGTTTACTGCTGAGGAGGTCATGTGTATACCCCGCTACATATCATACACAGAGTATGAAAGGTCAGGGTATGGCAGGACCAATAAAGAACTGCTTCCACCAGTCCTGGAATAAGCAATCCTAGGAATTTACCTGGTAATGTAAGTCAACGAATATTCGGCACATATTTATTTTCGGCTATTTTCGGGCTGATCATAATTGGCCGAAAATTTGTCGCGGACGAAATTTGGTTTTGCAAGGTTCAGTGTGTACAGGCGGCAGCAGTACAGGCCGATAATTTGATGCGGCCGAAATGGGTTTTAGCCCTGGGAGGCCGAAATTTGAACGTGCCGAAATTTTTTAGACTTACAGTACACAGCGTTCTAACTCCATTTTCTCTACTCCCATATTTGGTCGTGGTGTTGTGTTGTTTTGCTGGACGCATGTAGGCTGAACAAAGATCTGATCGTCAAGATAGGTGATTTCGGCCTGGCGCGAGACATCCACGGCGAAGTGTATTACGTGATGGGCACGCCACGTCGTTTGCCCGTCAAGTGGATGGCGTTTGAAAGCTTGCAGGATCAAGTCTTCAACTCTATGACTGATGTGGTGAGTCCAGGGGCGTCGGAAGGTATTTTACGGTGGTACGGCCAGCCACCTGAAGTACGAGTTACTTGTGGGGCTGGGGTGGCTCCTCTGAAAAGTTCGAAATTTAGAGCCCAGATCAGTGCATTCTATTGATGCGCAGAGTACCTGGGACAACGAGTGGTACGGTCAATACCGTAGTGACCTTACTGTGTCTGATGCCCCTGTGAGTGATGGTAGCAAGAGATAGCAAGACTGTAGTCAACTTCGCTAATAACGACTGCGGATATAACGACAATTCGCGAATAACGACATAATTTTCATGCCCAGAGCAAAGTCCCATCCAACTGTGACACATAATGAGACTTGGGGTATAAGGACACTTCGCGAATAAGGACACTTTTCTGAAGCCCCGCCGAGTGTCGTTATAAGTGAAGTTGACTGTACATAACACCCAAGAGACAAGAGTGTGCAACTGCCTGCACAATCTCTACACAGTGCTACGCCGGCAGAACTTCACATCACGTGACATGGTTCGAAAGTTCAAAAGTTGCGCTGGCAAACAGTGCAAAGTGACCACAAGAGAGTTGAACCCAAACTAGGGTTGCGTACAACCCTGTATCTATCATGCACAGAGTGCAAACGCAAACAATGTGTACGGGTTCATCACGTGATGTGAAGTTCTGCCGTCGGAGAGACCCCATAGCTGGAGTTTCACACTCTTGGGGGTTATGTGCTCTTGGTGTTACAATAACATGTTCGTGCAGGTCAGTGTAGCCGACCTGACCCGACCCACCAGGCGATAAGGATACTGGCCGGACTAGTTTTTCGGTTTTTTGATAGTTTGCAGTGTTGTACACTGCGTGCTGTGTGTATGATGTCGTGTTTGTGTGTGTGTGTGTGCGGGGGGGGGGGGGGGGTCGTGTGTGTGTGTGTGTGTGTGTGTGTGTGTGTTTGTGTTTGTGTGTGCGTATGCGTGTGTGTGTGTGTGTGTGCGTGCGTGTGTGCGTGTGCGCGTGCGTGTGTGTGTGTGTGCGTGCGTGCGTGCGTGTGGTGTGTGTGTGTGTGTGTGTGTGTGTGTGTGTGTGTGTGTGTGTGTGTGTGTGTGTGTATGTGTGTGTGTGTGTGTGTGTGTGTGTGTGTGTGTGTGTGTGTGTGTGTGTGTGTATGTGTAATGGGTAGCCGAGTGGTAGGCGCGGTGAAATCAACAAGAATTACTTTTATTCTACTTTCAGGTACACACCTGAGATATAATTATTAATGAAAGAAGAAGCTGCAAAATAAATAAGATTCAAGATCTCTCCGGTGCTCACCTAGAGGTTGACTACTTCTTCGAATTCTTTCGTTGCTATCTAATCTAATCTAATCTAATCTAATCTAATCAAAACAGAAAAAGCGCAGCTGCTTTTATGCAGCAGACGCCGTACGCTTATATGCGGAGATACACTAAAATTAATATACATAAGGTCGTTCCGTATTCCTTCCGTATTACTTCCGTATTAGCCAGGCAGGGATACTACACCCTCCCTTCCTACAGATAATCACGCCCTCGTGATTTTCAAAAGTAGGCAGGTGGGTGAATGTTCTGTCTGGGCCGGAGATTGTACGGAAGTGCAGGAGGAGGCGGAGCGGGGGGGTTGGAGTTGAGGAGGAGGCGGAGCGGGGGGTTGGAGTTGCGGTAGTGGTGTATGTGTAGGGGTGGTGTGTATCTCGGGATCGTATGTCGGTGGTGTTGCAGGACGTAGATCTACGTCGGTTACTTGATGATATGGCTTCAGGCGATTTACGTGAACAATTGAAAGCCTCTGGCGATCCGACAACGAACGAATGCGGACTGTGACATCATCGATCACCTTCTGGATGACATATGGTCCTGTCCAGAATCGGTGAAACTTGGGGGACTCATTCAGAGGGACCACTGGTGAATGTAGGAGAACAAGCTGATCGTTCGTGAACTTCGGTGGCGGGCGAGATGTACCATCGTAACCCTTCTTCTGGTGCTGGTGTGATTTAAGGCCGTGCTGGCGGGCACGCTCAAAGGCAGTCTCAGTTGAAGTACGAATAGAAGAGACGAATTCAGGGTAAGATGGTGGTGGTGAGTTACGGGGTAAACCATACATCACATCGAGAGGCAGAACCGGATCATAACCAAACTGGAGGCGGAATGGAGAATAGCCAGTCTATGCATGCACTAGTGCGGTATGCTAGCGCCGTGGGTTGGAGATGCAAGTCCCAGTCTCGGTGATCAGAGATGGATGTTGCAATCATAGCTTCTAGTGTCCGGTTGAATCTTTCAACCATGCCATCACTTTGTGGGTGGTAGGGTGTGGTTCTGGTCTTGGTGATATCAAGCATAGTGCACAGGCTTTGAAACAAGCGACTCTCAAACTGGGAACCTTGATCAGTGTGCAAGGCAGCGGGTGCACAATAGCGACAGATCCAACCATTGAAGAACAAACCGGCGACAGTAGAGGCGAGCATGTTGGGCATGGGGAAAATCTCGACCCACTTGGAGAAGTAATCCATTATGACTAATACGTACCGATTTCCTCGATCAGTGATAGGAAGGGGACCCATGATGTCCATGGCGACACGCTGGCTTGGGTAGGATGATGTTTGCGATTGCAGAGGTGCTTTCGGTTTGGGCTGAGGTGCTTTCCGTTTTTGGCACTCCGGGCAGGTTCTAACACACTGTTCGATGTCATCAGCCATGTGGGGCCAGTAGAACCGTGTACGGGCCTTGTCGATGGTGCGGATGACGCCAAGATGACCCGATCCAATACCGGCATGCAGTGATCTGACAACAGTAGGACGTTGTGACACAGGCAGGACCAATTGAAGATACGAGGACAGATCATCAGTAGACTCATACCTTCGGTAGAGAACACCATCTTGGACAATGAGACGATTGAACTGGGTCCAGAGTCGGTGCACATCAGGATGAACAGCAGCTAACTCAACTGATCCCTTAGGTGGTCGTTGCTGTGACGTCACCCACTTCATCACTAGAGAAATCGAGGGATCCACAGCTTGGCTAGTGCGGAGGGAGGTAGACGGCAGCCAGGACGCTGACGGAGCAGGCTCACGAGTGCATTGGTCGAGCTCGCCTGTGGACAGAGAGACACCGCATGAACTCATAGCAGCAGATGCAGCAGGCGGCAGACACATACTCTTGGCAGCAGGGGAAGAACACACATGTCCACACAATCTTGACAAACTATCGGCGTTGACATGCTGAGAGCCAGGGCGATGCCGAGTTTCATAGTCAAACGCTGATAACCGTTTTATCCAGCGTGCAACAATGCCATCCGGATTCTTGAATGAAGATAGCCAAAGGACGGCTTTGTGATCAGTGCGGAGTAGGAATGTGGTGCCGAGCAAGTAGTGGCGGAAATAGTGAGTGAATTCAATAACAGCCAGTAACTCACGCTTTGTCATTGTGTAATTACGTTGACCAGAGGACAGTGTCTTACTTGCATAGGCGATGGGATGTTCTGCACCATCGGAGCCGATTTGTGAAAGGACCGCACCAATGGCATGATCACTAGCATCTGTATCCAGAATGAAGGACTTATTGGCATCAGGATAGGCAAGGACGGGTGCTGAGCTGAGGTGTTGGCGGAGCTGATCGAAGGCATTCTGTGCCTCGGGTGGCCAGGCGAATGTTGAGTGCTTCCTTGTTAGCGCATGCAGAGGTGTCGCAATCTTAGCAAAGTCATGGATGAATCTCCTGTAGTATGATGCAAAGCCGAGGAACTGGCGCACACCCGTGATGGACGTAGGTTGCTTCCAGGTGGAAACAGCCTTAATTTTGGCGAGATCAGGGCGAACACCATCAGCAGAGAACACATGACCAAGATATCCAACAGATGAGTTGACTAGAGAGCATTTAGACGGCTTCACTTTGAGGCGGGCCTCACGGAGACGGTCGAGGACAGAACGTAACCGTTGGAGGTGTTCCTTGAACGTCCTTGAGAAGACAATGATATCATCCAGATATACAAGACACGTGGATGGAATAAGATCTCCCAGAACAGCATTCATCAGGCGCTGAAACGTAGCAGGTGCATTGCATAAGCCGAAAGGCATGCAGGTCCACTCATAGAAGCCAAATGGAGTGACGAAGGCAGACTTACGCCGGGCATCTTTATCCATGCCGACTTGCCAGTAGCCAGAAGCGAGGTCAATAGTTGTGAAGTAGCGGGCACCACTCATGGCGTCAATGGCATCATCAATACGCGGCATTGGAAAGGCGTCTTTTACCGTGATGTTGTTAAGCTGACGGTAGTCCACACAAAGGCGAATGGAGTTGTCAGGCTTCCGGACAACGACAATAGGTGCAGACCAGGGACTGTTCGACGGACGAATAATGTGATGATCACGCAGCTTATCAATGTGCTCCCTGACCTCTTGTTGCTGGTGCCAGTCTCTCCGGAGGCGTGGGTTCGAATCCCACCGCTGCCACCAATGTAATGGGTAGCCGAGTGGTAGGCGCGGTGAAATCAACAAGAATTACTTTTATTCTACTTTCAGGTACACACCTGAGATATAATTATTAGTGAAAGAAGAAGCTGCAAAATAAATAAGATTCAAGATCTCTCCGGTGCTCACCTAGAGGTTGACTACTTCTTCGAGTTATCTTTCGTTGATATCTAATCTAATCTAATCTAATCTAATCAAAACAGAAAAAGCGCAGCTGCTTTTATGCAGCAGACGCCGTACGCTTATATGCGGAGATACACTAAAATTAATATACATAAGGTCGTTCCGTATTGCTTCCGTATTACTTCCGTATTAGCCAGGCAGGGATACTACATATGTATGTGTATGTGTGTGTGTGTGTGTGTGTGTGCTGGTTGTACATGGTGTATGTCGCATTGTGTGTGTATGTATATCTCTTGCACAGTGGTCGTTTGGCGTAGTAATGTGGGAGATATTCTCTCTTGGACAGTCACCCTACCCTGGCGTGGACAACAGCGAAATGATCGAGTATCTCATTTCCGGGAGGCGAATGGCTATGCCACCGAAATGCCCCGATGACTTGTGAGTATTGATAAGAATAATTATTATTATCACATGTCACGTGAGTGTTTCCTTGGATCGGGCCAATCACTGGTCTGTATGAGCGGGCAATAAATCAGTCCAACGCCCGCGTCCAAAGCCCGTCGTCAGTGACAACCCTGACTGAGACTGTACGCGTGAAATCTACGGGATGTGAACATGGTGGGCATGGTGACTGTACGGCGCAGGGCCTAGGGTGGCATGTGAACGCGTGGTCGAAAGTGGCGATCTCAGCTTTCCTCGCGTGACTATGACGACTCTGTAGAATGTTAGATTATGTACGACTCTACGACGAGTCGCAGTGTAGCATTGAGACGAAGATTGAATTCTTTTTGGAGATGGACATCCCGCCAATGGACATGGCCTCGGACGTCTGCCGTGTGGTGCTTGCAGGGATCATTTGTTCAGTCATGTTGGCAGCCTGACCGTCGGTAAGCTTTTGGATAAGATTCAGTTCTGCTCGAAGTGGCACTGTGATCACAAACAATTATTTGAAATAACACAAATTCAACTCAGCGTCGTGCGTTTTCAGATCCTCGCAAAGTCACTGCTGTGTGTGGTCTTCATGTGCCACGCAAAACTCTTACCAGGCTCATTTGTCCTCTGCCTTCACCTTTGCTTGAACAACAAATACAACAATTCAGGAATGTTTTGCAATGAAAAATACAGCTATCTGGAGCTGAAAAAAGAAGAAGAAAAATTGTCCTCAGAATTACACACCAGGGAGTCGTCAAATACTTGCACTTGTTGCAGTACTGTATTTGACAACTTCCTGATACACATGTAAACATGAAGAAACTCTTTGTGGTAGCACTCTTAATTTTTCAACTGAAATTATGATTCTGCTGTATTTATTGTCGTTGCCATGTCTATTGCTATGACGATGCGGTGCCGGCACTTTTTTCTGTCTCCGTCTTTCAGTACTGTATACTCTTCTGATGGCCTGTAGCAGACTTTTTGTTAGGGGGTAGGAGAAATATCTTCATTTTTCCTGTTTTGATAATGATAGCACATCAATATACATTGTGGTCATAATGTGTTGGCATTTGGGCCAATTTCAACAGCAGCTCAATGGTCTGCTCTGTGGGCCATGTGATAAATTCGTTATCGCATGGTTGCTGCGGGCCTTATGGCATATTATTGCCCCTCGAGGTTAGCCCTCGGGCCTACGGCCCTCGGGCTAACCTCTCGGGGCAATAATATGCCATAAGGCCCTTGCAACCATGCGATAACATATACTTATTCATTGCACCTGATGTTCCTAACAGTCACGAAGGTAAAATGTGGCAGGCTGCGGGGGGGGGGGGGGGGGGGGGATTTTAGACCAGTTTCAGGGGTGCCGGAAGGTACTTTAGGATGGTGTTGCTGGACGTCTGAAGTAAAATTTATTCGTGGTGGGACTGGCTCTGGTGCGAAGTTTCCAAATTTATCGGCCATATGAATGTAAGAGCGGCTACAGACCTGCGAACACTGGTCTGCGTAACAAAGTCACTGATGCATGGCTTTTTTTTAGCTTTGGTATACGCTGCTGCAGGCCCCATTGACCACCGCTGTGTACGTGGAGTAGAACCTGTCAAGGTGACCACTCTGATAAGGTGACCACCTGTCTCAGAGGACCACTACAAATAGGACCAAAGGCTGTGATTTACGGTCAACAAATTTCCCTGGATATGGAGACCACCTGTACATGGGGACCACATTTTTGAATATCTCATGAGCGGTCGGCTCAGACAAGTTTCACTGAATGTGCACGTTTTACTGCGTTTGTGTTACCATGGCTGCAGCTATAATCTAATGCTGGCCTGCTGGACCATAGACAAGAAACATCGGCCGACGTTCAAGCAGCTAGTTCCCATGCTAGCCGACTACCGTGACGTCTTCTACGAGAACGTGGAGGTGAAGGAGAATGACCCGATTGTGTTTGCACGCATGCACCTGTCTGGTCAAAGTCAATATGCGCAGCGGCACAGCTCGATGTTCAGTACCACTGGTAGTATTACCACTGTGCAGACAGAGGTGACGTATGCACCTGACAACGCAACCCAGTACAGTAGCAGTGGTTACGGCTCTGTAGGTAAGCCGTGGTCTGTCTGTCTGTCTGTTTGTCTGTCTCCGTCTTTGTCTCTGTCCTTGTTTCTGTCTTTCTCTCCATAGCGATACACATGCACTTAGAAGACACCATGTCTTTCTGGAGTTTTCCAGTCTTTTCCGTTTCGATTATTCGATATATTTCCAGGCTCTTCACTACAGCTTTGGAGCAGCAAAGCAGCAAAGTAGTGACTTTCATGCACATGTAGAAACAAGGCACATCAAAACATCAGCAGCGATATGTATTTTGAACACTTGACGTACCTGCGGTAACTTTCTCATTGTTCTGCCCTCTGCATCAGGCTCCGTGGGCTACTATGCCAAGGCCAATCGGCCGTCGGACGACTTCCGCAAGCGTGTTATTAGCAAGGCGGCGGACAACCCTCACTACTCCCCGGTCGGTGGCGGAATCCAGGAGACGGAATGCTACAATCCCAACTATCACCCCACCGAAGTGGCCGCCAACACGCGCACACCAGCCAATGGTACCACTACCAGTGTCCGGTATCCAATGGTTACGCATTCGTCAACACCGGCAAATGCATCGATATCGAATAGCTCGCCGCCGCGTGGACAACCGGACCTGCCATCACCGGTGCTGGAGGAAGGATGGAGTGGTAGCCGGTCTCCACCTGTTGGTGACGTGGGGCGCTGGAGAGACGGTGTGGAGACGCTACCAGGAAGCTCCATGTCGCCGACACGCAACGCCACCACTGGGAGCAGTGCGCGACGGCCATCGATCAACGAGCAACGACGAGCGCGCGTGGAAGAAACCGACCTCTAGTGAATCGTGTGCACCCCGATTAGCTGACAGCTTGCCGAGGATGACTGGCGCGGCGGTGTGTTCTTACTACGTATGGCGGAGTGTCTGCTGTTGACTGGTGGTATGGGTATGCCATGTGATGGAGGTCAGCGTGTGTGTGTGTGTGTGTGTGTGTGTGTGTGTGTGTGTGCGCGCGCGCGCGTGAGTTATCGATGCTATAGTACTTCCCATGATCCGCCTCACATCCAGTTGCTACGTGGTACACACCCTGGCGGAATCGAGCGACCTGTGACTAAGAAAAGGCGCCGGCAATTGCATCAGCATCATCGGCTGCAGTGACAGACCCCTGACTGTCATGTTGAGTTAAATAATGATAGAGACAGCCTTCTTGAGAACTTCAAACCCTACTCTGCTCTGCACAAATCCCTGTTCTTTCCTGCCCCGCTCTGCACCCCCCCCCCCCCCTCTCTCTCTCGCTGCTATATTTACGATCGCTAGAGCATGTCTGTTACTGCAGAAGTGTCGACGTCACGTGCGTGCGCGTGTGTGTGTATACGCGTGTGTGTGTGTGTGTGTGTGTGTGTGTGTGTGTGTGTGTGTGTGTGTGTGTACCCATGCTCTGCACACATGGAGTAACGGATTGCTTCTCTCACTAAGATCCCATGGAACATTTCTAGAAGGGCAATACAGCCATAGTTATACCGCTGAGCTGACTGAGTTTAAATTCCACTTCCGCTGCTGCTGGTGGTGCCTCTGGTGCTGCTGCTGCTTAAGCTGAGAGCCGTATGATAATTTGCTTGGCTGTTGACCTCGATTCAGGCGCTTTCCGCAACAATTTTGCTCACTTGCTGCTTGTCAATTCTCCCCTGATGATGATGTGTGTGTGTGTGTGTGTATGTGTGTGTGTGTATGTGTGAGTGTATGTGTGAGTGTATGTGTGTGTGTGTGTGTGTGTGTGTGTGTGTGTGTATGTGTGTGTGTAGTACGTACTTAGCGCTGAGAATGTGCTGCGTTTTCTCGACGAGCTCAGCAGCATGCCCTTGTGGTATTGTCCTACTGCCGCCTTGCTTCTGTGCATTACAATCATTGCTACTCTTTCCCCGCTGTATTTACTTATCTGGAATCACTGATGAAACACTGTCGATCAGTCATGTGATACATTCATTTCTCTCACTCCCTGAGTGTATCCTCTGTGTGTGCTCCTCTGGCATTAGATGTTATTACCACGCTTAGCTCCCGTGTGTGTGTGTGTGTGTGTGTGTGTGTGTGTGTGTGTGTGTGTGTGTGTGTGTGTGTGTGTGTGTGTGTGTGTCAATGTGTGTGTGTGTGTGTGTGTCAATGTGTGTTTTTCATTAGCTTTTCCAGTCTCCCTTAGTGTTATGCACCCCTACTTCGCCTACTAGCTGACCATGGTACATCGTCCTCTGGTGTGTGTGTGTTCAATTCTTGATCCATTGTTGTTGTGCCGCCGTTTGTCCTGTTTGCTTATTCCTCGTTGATTATTATACTATTCTATGGGTTCGAGACACTGAAACAAAAGGATCCTCTTTGTGTGTGTGTGGGGGGGGGGGGGGGAGGGGAAGGGTGTGTGTGTGGGGGGGGGGGAGGGGGGGAGAGTGTGTGTGTGGGGGGGGGAAGGATGTGTGTGGGGGGGGGGGGGGGGAGGTGGTATGTGTGGGGGGGGGGGGGAGGGTGTGTGTGGGGGGGGGGGGGAGGGTGTGTGTGGGGGGGGGGGGGGGGTGTGCTAGTCGGTGGCCGGAACACCTATATGTATCTCAGAAAGTGATTGGGTCTGTTGCCACGGGGGGGGGGGGGGGGGGAAGGTGTGTGTGTGTGGGGGGAGGGGGGAGGGGCGGGGGGTGCTTAGTTGAATGTGTATTGTTCTTACCGTGAGGATTGGGTGTGTGCCAATTATTACACTACTTCTGGATAGATACTAAGACAGCTCTTGTGCAACCACTTGTGCTGATGAGGACTTGCTATAATCCCAAAATACCGTAGTGTAGCTGGCAAGACTTAGTATTATTTCCACTGCTGCTGGCGAAGGTTAAAACACTGTACCCATGCAGCATGCCGGTTGTCGATCCTTTTCTGCACCTGATCCTCACCAATTCTATACTGGCCGGTGGTCTTTCTGCTGATAGTGCAGCTGTGTGGTGTAGGATCACGTCCAAGTCCATCCTGGATATAGTCTGGTGATCGGGGGTGTAGTTTCACATGAAATGTTGTAATAATTATTACAATCATGGGAAACTGCATTCTCCAATTGTATTTTATTTTCTCTACAGTGCTAGTGCCCGGCAATCTGCAGCCCGGATTGTTAATATTAGGTCACAGACTCACACCGTTTGGGTGCTAGATCTGCTGAGTGACATGGAACAGATCTGCAGGTACATTGTACATGATTGTATGCACGGTCTAGCCACACTGAATTCGCGTGAGAAGCAGTATGCAGTTTCCCGTCCACACAAAAGGAAGTCGGACATCGATCACCAGTGCAATGCCTGTTCTACATGTAAATGTACTACCCGCCAGGAAGTATCATGTGTCGATACCTTATCCATCATTATCACCAGCACCATCCGTGGAAAGCTAGAAAGGTCTGTGACTTAAGCTAAAGGTGAAGGTGACACAAGCTATTAGTTATAGAAAAGTATTTGATAACTTTGTTTTCGTTCAAACATGTTGTTGGTCGACAGCATGTAACAAGGTGGAGGACACTGTGTTCGGAACACAGTGACCTTACTACAACCATCCACGGTTAGTAGAGCCCCGGTCGGTTGCTACCATCTGAACGGTATGGGTCTTGGACCCGGTTCTGACCCTCTCTACCAACCGTGGATGGTTGTAGAAAGGTCGCTGTATCCGAACACGGTGTCCTCCACCTTGTTAAGGTGGCTGGGGCGGTACAACTTTTTTGGGAAATTTTTGACTGCATTTTGGAGTTAATCGGCAAGGCAGAGATGAAATTTGAAAATGTTTTCTGGTGAATCTCTGGAGAATAGCTTTCTCTAGCTTCCTATAGTTTTATTTTTACTTTTGGACAAAATTTGAAAACGTTTTATGAAAGGTTCGTGTTATTTTTTCACGGACCTTTCATAAAACTTTTTCAAATTTTGTCCAAAAGTAAAAATAAAACTATAGGAAGCTAGAGAAGGCTCTTCTCCAGAGATTCACCAGAAAACATTTTCAAATTTCATCTCCACCTTGCCGATAAACTCAAAAATGCAGTCAAAATGTAATCAAAATGACACCTAAAAAGTTGTACCGCCCCAGCCACCCCCTAACCCTAGCCTAGTTCACATTCGACGCAACACCGACAACCTGAATTTAGTGGCTATATTGTATAGATGTACATGTACGTGTACCGGCACACGTACATCTATAGCCACATCTATACAATATAGCCACATCTATACAATATAGCTGCCACTAAATTCACTTTTCACCACTACAGTCATGTGGACACTGTGGCAGCTTCAGGTTGTCCAACCGCCCTGCTAGTAGCAGGACAGACTCATTCCTGCTTTGGAGCAAAACATTTGTTTACATTTACAAGGGAGATCATTGCCTTTGTATGCAGCGTATGTGGGCGTCCTGCTTTGGAGTGGAGGCAAGGTTCAACAGGGACAGACTGCATGCAGCTAATGCTTGCCTGATGATCATCCGTGTCCTGCGTGAAATGTGACACTAGCAGTAAAACTGCCTCTTGGCTCCCGAATTCATCTCATGATTGACCTAGGACTCTAGCTGTAGAGACCTGAGGTGTGCTGTGAAGATGTAACTAATATTATTACTTGTACTTGTTACTTGCTACATGTATCTAGGGCTAGCCGGGCTAGCTTCCCTACAGTCTCCAGAGTAATGCCTTTACAATGGTTAGGAGTAGTGTGAGCGGCATCATCACACTGCATGCACTCACATGTACATGTATTATTGTAGTGCCGGAATGCATGGTTTGATGGTGCAGCACAGAGTGACGTGTGAGAATACCAGTGACAAAGCTAACCAAAGCTACCACTGCCTGGGTGTGGTGTGGTGTTCACCTTCCACTGTTTGAAGAGCTCAGTAAAATCATGAACTTGTGTACATAAGTTCCATCTCTACTTCCAGTCTCAGCAGGATATTAGACGACGATGCATTACATACATGATTGTAATGCTCTGCAGGAATAGGAGATACAGGGAGATGTCCTTTGGATCTTGCAGGACGAAGCATTGGCAGTGCCACACTGCAGGACTAAACGCGTCAACTTCTGCAATTGCCCAGAGAGTACAAAGTAGTACAAGTCATGTACATGTATACACACACGGACACGCACGTATTCTGTGTGTAGGACGGTGCTCCCGATAGCCCACGATCCATGGACAGTTGCGGAGGAGTTGCTATGGTTGCAGACAGCCCACGCCCCACGGCCACGGCCACGGACAGGGACGTAGTCGTTATGTGCGATTGGCATGGGGTTAACTCGGACACCTGTGAAAACTAAGACATACATGTAAGTGCACCTTGCAAGGCACAACGGGTGGCGAGCTCATAATTATCGCCCATGAGTTGGACATGGGGCGCACCGTCACGCCCTCGCACATACAGTGCGCCATGGACGTATCAGGACATGGTGTCCTGGCTGCAAACAGTCCAGGGAAGGCACTGAGCAACGGGTGGAAGAGTTCTTTGCGATAAGGCTCCCCACACTGGCAACCATCGTATCAGCCTTCACTGACATGACAAGGGACGTGATGTACCGATCTTGGTGTTGACGAGACACCCTCTCAGCCCTCTGTCACAAGAGAAAGAGAGACGGAGATAGTTAGTCAAGTGGATGATGCATCACGTTGAAGCTGAACTTGCAAACCCTGTTCAGAACTACCCACTGCTCACAATTTGTTGTGAGTATTTGTAGTGGGTTACTTAACGAGATAGGCGCGGCTTGAGTTTCCAGGTACATTGCGAAAAGTGTCTTCAAGTGAGTCAGGCTTTTAACGAGAACACGTTGATGGGCGAGTGAGCAATAGACGGATTTCCAAGTAAAAATTTGAGAAGCACGTTCCTCTCCCATGAACCTGTCCCACTTTCCCCCATTGTCCCCGAGAAGTTAATCGGTATTCTTGCACATTTCCCGTGTCAAAGTCCTATTATCCACGTACATGTACATGTAACTTAGTCGTAAGTCCATCTGTTGCTGCTGTCGAATATATTGTCGAAGAAACGACGGGCGGAGAAGGTGTAGCCACAGAAGCAACCAGTGGAGGTTCAAGGAAGCTGTTGACCACCACTCTCCTTGTCTTACATCAGCGACGTGTCTGTTTCACTGGAAAGCACGTTATGGTATGAAACAATCTACGCCATCTTTGAACATGAGGATGACGACGGTTCTGGCGATTCTGCTGGCGCTAGTGATTCCGCACACTGCAGCGTTTGTGCTTCGTGTTGAAGAGAATTTCCGGAGGGAGATGTTCATGGATGCCACTGATGGTAAGCTTAGTGTATGGCCATGCATTGTGCTTGTCTTTGTTGTAGTGAACGCACGCTTGTGTTCGCACGCGTGTGGCTTAGATTTGTGTGTAAAGCAATCATTAAAGAAAGAGTAAAGGACCAATGAACTACAAGTTTATAAATACGCTATAATGTCAGCTAACACCAGCAGCTACTTGACAATCAGCTCTTGCGATAACATTGCACGACTTTCCGGCATTGGTCCCCTTTTCCTCCAATAAATCATTGGCTCTCCATCTGAAGACTAATGATTTTAAAAAGAGTTTGAATCTGACTCAGAAAGTCGCTTTTCAAACCAGAACGTCGCGTCGAAGTATGAGAGAGCACAGACAGCACAGTTGAGACCATGCATGTCTCTGTCCTCCAACGTATCGTTCAATACGAGAAGTGAACAAGAACATGTTCCTTGCAGCAGCAAAGTAGACGCTGAACCTCCACATAATGGAGCATATCTTAGCACCAGAATCGCAGGGCTCCGTGTTTGCCCCCAGAAACTTCCCAAAAAAGAAGAGAGAAAGTTCTCTCGTGCCTGCGGGCTGGACTGGAAGGTCGGTGTACGTCTAGGACGGAGTGTGTAACAATGCGCATTTACATGCACATGTACACGTACATGCACAATGTGCGTGAAGTATGTGATAGGTCCGCGCTCCACAAGCTTCCCTTTACGGTCACAATAACACAATGGATGGAAATGCAAAAACAATTGCAAACCCAGAAAGAAAAGGAAAGGAAAAAAGAAATGTAAAATAGAAGTGAAACACATGGGAACGAGTGATGAAGCAAATATCCACGGCCGTAACAAGATAATAAGCAGTCAGAAAGTGGGATAACATGGCACAAAACTGACAGGCTACTGAGACATTCAACGATCTGAGACCTGCAAGTAACTCATAACTCGTTCCCAAGTGTTTTACTTCTATTTTACATTTCTTACCGGCTCAGTATCCGAAAGAACAAGAATGATGTTTAACCCCAAAGCAGAAACTATCTGTGATTAAAACTAGCCTTATACCAACGTGATTGTTTATAGAACATGTCACTACGCTATCGTATTTTCTTTGCCTTGCCATTGGAAGGTGTGAAGGTACGAAACGTGTTTGATAATAAACGTCCCCTCTTTAACCGTTTGGTCCCAGCCCATCCACATTGTACCCAAGCAAATAGACTAGCAGTCGTTGTTCTCCATCTAATTAAAGGCAGTGTGCCAGTGTCTTGTCTCGATTAAAGACACGTAGTTTTTGCTCGTGCTATACTCGGGAGAGGAGGTGCTGGTTGTTCGGCCCTGGTGAAGATGATCGCTGGCCAGTGTGCCAGATTTTCAGTTGTTTTCAGCCTGAACCTTTCTAACCCACTGATGCGGAAATGCAATATCCACAATAGACCCTTACTCAAGATAAGTATCGTCTGATGTCATTCCTATCCTCCAGTACATGTACACAACAATAGTTTCAAGTGGTCAAGGTTCGGGGTTTTCTCTGGAAGTACCGCTAGTTGATAAACCTGTCCTGTCAGAGCGATATCAACAAGACTCTGTCAGCACAGTCTGTCACAACACGGCTGGTAATACTTAGCTTGATCGATAAGAGAAAGAGAGATAGATAGATAGAGATCCGAGAGAGAGAGAGAGTGTGTGTGTGTGTGTGTGTGTGTGTGTGTGTGTGTGTGTGTGTGTGTGTGTGTGAGTATGTGTGTGTGTGTGTGTGAAATATATCAGTAGAAATGTAGAGTGTTTTCTGTGACTAGGGCTCAGTAGGGGAGAGCCAACAGGCGCAGCCTTATTACAAGGATCCCTAGGTAAAGTTTTATAGGGAGAGCAAAAACCCAGTGGATTGTGCCTGACAACAGGTTGGGGCGAAGAGCATTCCACCTACATGTACATGTATCTGCTGCCGGAAAAGAAACTGAGCGTAACCCATACTGCATACATATACAAGTACATGTACATGTATGCAGTATGTAGTGTAGGGAACAGTAAAGCAGCTGAGAAATAGCTAGCTAGAAAGCTACACTAGTATAGCTAGATAGCTACTTCTAAAACTAAACAAATAGGATCAGTCCGGGAAAACAAAAAGGGCTCGGACAAACCGAATTGAATACAAACAAGAACACGATAAGCAGCAAACGCGTAGGAGGGAAGCGAGAAATGGCAACTAATCTGGCGAGATACGGGCACGTAATTATTGCATGAGAAGTATTAGAATCATGTAAAGATATGAAAAGACCCATGGGTACTAATTATGAGTATCAGTAACTGTCTAATACTGTAACAAGAAATTGATAAAAAAATAAGCAGTCAGAACGTGCCATATCTGTATCAGTATCCGAGTTCCATTTGAAAATTGTGTCACGGTCCTTCTAGAATGCCTATGACAAAAGGAGAAGCACACCCGTGCATGCTTTTGGAAGCACACCGACGAGTACGACTCCCCAGACCAGCACATGAGACGAAAAGGGTGTGTTAGCTCACTGCACATTGAACTGAGAAAAACGCACTTGAAAAGTGAGTAATTGCACTTTTATGTGTGCGACTGTCAGACAGCAAACCAACAAAGCTGCTTGTTACCAATGTTACTAGCTGGTATTACTGGGTGTTTTTGACTATTTAATTAAATTACATTTTAATGATTTCTGAAGCTTGCACGTACAGGTACGTAGTACACTATTAAAATGCATGTAGAATCAAATTTCCACAACTTGAGGCTAAGCACCCTTTTCTTGTCCTCTGGCTCTGGCATAGTCATACGTCATGTACATGTACATGTACATGTAGGTTCTGGATGTACATGACGTACATGTACGTACGCGCCTACATGTACTGGTACTTCAGACATGATTGTGACTTGTAGTTTGCGTTGAGCGCTGACACGAATCACAAGTGTAGTCTACGCCTGTAAGTCGTGTCAGCGATTTCACCTGAACACCACAAGAGGAGCTCCTCGAGACAACGAATGTCACATTCAGGTTGGATGATTTCGCCGCACCCGTAACTTCTACCGTCAACACAGCACACGAGTACGAGCTTGATGTTTGGTTTGGTTTTTATTATTATTTCAGTTCGTTGCCTCAACAGTACAAAGTACAAATATCAAGAGGGACGAACGAAAAGAGAAAGTAAAACAGAGCAGAAAGGAAGATGCAACTGGAAGGAAAGAGAAACGGAGAAGGAATGTGGACTGGGCGGATTCACGAACCATTACTAGAGCGGGGCAAGCCATGAACAGAAGGGGCAAGCCGTCGATATTCATGGTTAAGTTAAACAATTCCAAGCCTTAGGTATTTGGAATAGCAGGACCGGCGGAAGGAGCTTTTGATTGGTACGGCCATACCCAAGCCTTTCTTTCATACCTTGTGATGATGATAATTATGGTGGGTAGTTCAACTGGGTAGTAGTGGGTACACGTGACCTAACCAGGAGTACACACGTGGTGGTGGTCAAAAACTTGATCCAGCCATGGCCAGACCGCCTGATGATAACGAAACGTCGTTAGCACCATGGCTTTAGCGATTAGCTATCAAGCCTTTTGGCATAATCTAAACAAGGAACTGAGACTCTGCGATCTAGGCGAGCACACTGTGCATGTTTAGTACTAGTAGTGGTAATTTCCGTCGCTTTGCTGCGTCAAGAGGACTTTCGGTTTTAGATCACAGTGCACAACTGCACATGTAGTACCAACAGAAAGAGTGGAAACGAAACGAAAGCAAAACAAATGTTCACCAATGGGTGTGTACTGTCAGGCGCTACATGACCTGTAGATTAAGCTTGTCTTCTCGCTGTTCCTCTGCTCTGGATGACTGTATTGAAACAAATACCGGTATGGTGGCTAAAGAGAGCCATTGTGGTTTATCGTAGATCAACACTCACCAGAAAGTGTGGTGCATATAATTCCCTTCCCCTCTGCTACGTCATCATAAATGTTGGTGGGTGTAGTACAATTGTGTGTAAAATCTGTGAAATCAGCCCCTGAATGGACGAGCAGTTTTCCAACTTGGAAGGTTCTAAGTAATGAAACACTAGTAAGGCTAGAACGGGGAAGGTGAGCACAGGCAAGACGAAAACAAGCTAAACACCACAGCAAACGTAGAATGTTAGCTATGACAAGATGATGACTCGTGACGAAGGACCACAGCACAGGACGGCCATGGCTCACTTCGAGAACGCGAAACAACGACAATACATTTTCATTCTGGACACTTAACTTAGGGGAAAACTTACGAAGGTACAATGCCTCTAAAACAGCCAAGTGCAACTTAGATCTACCACGAGCCAAAACAGAAAATACGTCATCACTGTACAACTCACGACAATTACCACTGCCTGACAGATGGAGCTTGATGGCTGACCAACGTTGCGTTGAACTCCCAGCCACTGCTGTCACCTCCAATACCAGGGGCGTCGGAAGGTATTTGACATTGGGACGACCATGAATGGATGGAGGGTCCAGGGGGTCCTCCCCCGGGAAAATGTTAGAGGAAGTGGGGCCCAAATAGCCCATATTCCATTGCTTCGAAAAACCCAAGATGAAATCATTGCTGCGGCTTTGGCCGCACCTGCCACATACTGTAGCTGATGATTCATCTTGCCGCTTTTCCGGTTAGCGGTCGCTCGTTCGGTAGCCACAGGCTCCGTTGTTTTTCTTGGCGGTTGCAGTTTCGTCGTCTTTCCATTGCGTATTCTCACTTGACTGCGGGTGACCATTCCACTATGTGCAGCTGTCGCTGTCCTCTTCGGTGTCATCGCGTGGAAGCTGCCTCGCTTCCCTAGGCCAAACCGGGTCAGCCCAGTCAAACAAAATGAGTAAAACTGGCGAATATTCGAAGCGTGCAGCCAAGACATGCGGAATCTATGTGGCCATAACAGCGCGTTCTTTCAAATGCGGGATTTTCTTCTTTTTCCACCTCCAAATGGGACGTCTGACTGGGATTGGGCAACCGACCACCTAGGCCTCCAGCCTCTTCCGGGATTATGCCTGTGCTTGTACCTACCCCAAGCCAAATGATTGCCAATCCTGAGTAGCCAAACTCAACTTCTACCCCTATTGTACCTTTCATTTGACACTCTCCTTTCACTCCCATTATCTGTTTGATTAATTTCTATGTTCTGCTGTGTTCTAAATTAGGTCCTCTCCTCTATTCTAAATCTTCCGTTTTCTCCCGTGCTTATTTTTACCCCATGCTATGGTTCCCTCCCAATTTGGTGCGCCTGCCATTCGAAGATGCCGAGACCTCTGGTCGGTTGAGCATGGCAGCCCACCAGCACCATCTCACCCCATGCTAGCCCCATGTGCCTGCCGGGGAGTTGTGTATCTTGTACAGACGAAAGAAAAAAGGGCCTCTGTCACTCATACAGTACTCTACTGCAACCCATGGTCTTCTGCCCTTCTTACAGAGCAAACAGTGGTGATTCAGGACGGTGACATCACAAGTTTCTCTGCAGCACTGAAGATGACTTCGGGACTGTTTCCACCTTTCTCGCCAGATTTCAACATGATTGTTATGGAGTGGATGCGAGGAGCTGACGTAAGTCCTGCAGGCTTCCGGGGAATTCCCAACACCCCCGTGATTATGCTGTGTACTGCTATGTACTGTTCATTGTGACCATGCTAGTGCAAATATACATGTACTCCCAGAAAAACTCCAGAATACCACACACACACACACACACACACACACACACACACACACACACACACACACACACACACACACACACACACACACACACACACACACACACACACACACACACACACACACACACACACACACACACACGCACACACACGCACATACACGCACATACACACACATACACACACGCACACACACACACAAAACACACACACACACACACACACATACATACACGCACACACACACATACACACGCACACACACCATGTACCATGTATACGCCCGTCGCAAGCGGAGAAGCACGCAAATCTGCAAATGCACTGGATGTGCACCCACAGATGTTCTCTTTCTAGCAACGATAGCGGATCTGATTCTGATTGAAACAGATCAAGACAAGCGCCAGATAACTGTCTAATCCACACAACTGGCGAAGCCATGTGAATCGACCCCCCAATGCACACCTGGTCTACACCACACGGAGTACATCGGAATAGGACGGCCAAGACAGATACCTATGCACACCCTACACTTGCTGGGGTAACCAGATAGCACGCTGCTTTGATAGAAGCAGACACTAGATGCACTGGTACCTTGAAGTGGAATTGGAGTTATTTTACCAACCAGCCTCGGCAACTGGGTACTGGGAACCCAGGGCCAATAGACGTACCAACAACCTCAGCCATGAAAGCTATATAGTAACGACACACTGGATTGTGGAGCCGAAACTAGTCCAACTTCCAAAATACATTGGCAAGAGGGTAGCCTTCCGACAGATTGGACACACAAGCACACACACACACACACACACACACACACACACACACACACACACACACACACACACACACACACACACACACACACACACACACACACACACACACACACACACACACACACACACACACACACACACACACACACACACACACACACACACACACACACACACACACACACACACACACACACACACACTCTCTCTCTCTCTCTCTCTCTCTCTCTCTCTCTCTCTCTCTCTCTCTCTCTCTCTCTCTCTCTCTCTCTCTCTCTCTCTCTCTCTCTCTCTCTCTCTCTCTCTCTCTCTCTCTCTCTCTCTCTCTCTCTCTCTCTCTGGTGTGAGCAGGAATACGTGGCGTATGAGATCAGGACATCGTCTAGCAATGAGTCAGTCCTACTCGCTCCCCAACTCAGCATACCCAGTGACGGATGTGTTCCCAGTGGCAACTTCACACGTATGCTCATGTTTGGTATTTTTTGAATTTAAGTGGTCTTTGTAAAGACGAAAAGTGCAGCATCGCATCATATTATTTTACGTACATGTATGATGGACTTGGATGGAAAGTCATGGATTAATTTATAGTAAAGAAAAGGACCAAGGAACTACAGGTTACGCTATAATGTCCACTAATCGCATGAGCTCATTGTCAAGTAACTGCTGGTGTTATTGGACGTTATAGCGCAACTTGTCGTTCATTGCTCTTTTTCTTTACATGTATGATGGCTGTGTACGATGCCTGTGAATATAACAGATCGAGTGCGGTCTCTTGAAGGAGAAAGTAATTGTGGACAAATCAAGAGTCCTTTCAACAAATTAATATGCAAGCCCGGTACTACTAACGCGATGCAATACATAATGCTACTCCATTGCCACAATCAACTGTCCAAAGTATCGTATGCCATAACTTCTACAAGTATGAAATATGTACAATCATAGGATCAACATTTGGAAGAAGGACGGTGGACCAAAGGTTTGCAAGTTACTCGTAGTTGTCCAACACACTAAAGAATATCAAGCTTATACCATGCTTACCGGGATACAAGTAATTGCCAGTGTTGGCCAGCTAAGGGTAACTACTTTGGTCCTTTCTTCTTTAGAATTTTAATCCTTGGCTCTCCATCCGAGTTTAGGATCATCATATAGTTAAAACGATTGCTAGATCGTGTAGTTGTGCAATACGGTGGCGGTGCAGAGAATATCCACATGTACACTGTAGTAATAGTAATTTATGAGAAAACCTTTGTTGGAGACATCGAGGGAATAGTTATAGCAGGAGCAAACCGAATGAAGTCATAATAAAAATATAAAAATAACTTCATCTCCATTTTCTCCTTTAGAAGTGCAAGCTTCGAAAGCTTTACCCACAATTCCCTATCCCATAATAATAATGGTCGGAAGGACAAAGCACTGAACCTTCGTGCACAACTCGCTGTGTTGATGTTGAGCGAGTCTGTCATACAATTACAAGTTAGTTCGCGCTACTGCAGTAGCACTGGTCTCGCTCCGTCTGCTTTGCCATTAAATTTTGGCATTTCCTAAAATTAATAATCACGTACATCTACGCAGGTCGTCGGCGATCGGTTCGTAGTCGTACGAGGTGATTTGGCTTTTTTTAACATGGTTGTAAAATGACGTGTTTTCAGTCACTTCTAGACAAGCTACGTCCAAATGAATTGTTGCAAGTGGAAGTGCTATCCTTCATGCCCGTTGTGTCCAAAAATGGGAATGATCCCACTTTGGAAAGTGTCTTGAATCATATCCTACTTTCATAGTATTCTCAGGATTCAAATAATTGGTGTGTCATTTTTTAACAAATTTGTAAAACGGCATCACAAACTGGGATATTCGGTCATCAATGTTCTGAAGTTGATAGATATCACTTCAAGGATTGCTAGTGGATGAAAATTAATCTGTCAACAGAGGAGTGAACTGCATTGTATGCTGCGAAAGCCGTGTTTTTGTATTTGTAACTAGTGGCTGTGTTATACGGTGGAATTGGATAGGTAGCATAGCATAGCAGCCAAGTTTTCGTTCTCACAGAGTGTATTCCGTGACCTACTGTTCTTCATTACTGTCTTTAGTGATGGCAAGACGGCCTGAAGTCGTCCAAAGGCCCTGCGGAAGCAATTCACTGCCCTCCTCGTCCATTCAGGGGCTCATTTTACACATTTTACACAAAATGGCAAAGCACCCACCACTAGTTATACCGACGTAGCAGGGAGAATTAAATTATATGCACCAAATTTTCTGGTCAATGTTGATCTACGATAAACTGGCTCTCATTTGCCACCACCCATGTTTCGATACAGCCATCCGGAGCAGAGAAACAGCCAGAAGAAAAGCAAATTTTACACATTTGTTAAAAAATGGCAAATGTTAAAAAAAGCCAAATCACCTCGTACAGTGCCTCTGAGCTCTGAGCTCCGCTGATGACACCTACAAAGTACAATGCATGCTACACTACAACATGTCGTGTACTACAGTAACCATGGTAGCGAGGTCGAAACCCCTAAGCCAAGGCTAAAATTAAATACTGTCCGGCCGGAGCGCGGAGATGGTGTACATCTTGATCTACGTAGGTCTACGTAGTTCTATGCTTCGCATTTCGGGTATTTTTTATCATCATTAATTTTTGATCGAACCGCAATGCATCGACGTGTCAGAGTCAGAGACCTTCCATACCCATGATTATGATACCAGGCTTCAGACTTCACGAAGTGTGATCACAACCAAGTCGTGAGCTTTTACCATGTTGACGACTCCCTGGATCACACTACAGGAGAAGTGCAGGCAGCAGCATGCAGCAGCTCATGCGTGCTCGCCATAGGAAACATTCATGTCAGTGATGAGTCACTGCATCAGCGTTCCTTTTCAGGCTTTTGAGCCAGACGGATGTCGGCGACATTGTCGGAGAGGATGGTATTGGTAGATCTTCTACCTAGGGTTTTTTTTTGTCCTGCCATGCAGAATCTAGGTTGTGAGTATTGGGAGTAAAAAAGTATAAATCGCTGAAGGAGGCCTTGACGACTTGAGCGTGAGAAGAGTACCGAGGAAGTGAGGCGAGCGAGGTCGACAATGACACCCAACGTGACATGGACACGATGTAGGACTAACATCGATATCCGCACTGAGAATTTATCACCACTGCGTAGTCCTGGAGAGGTGCGCGGCCTGGAATAGGACAGATGAACGTTCCGGACACTTCAACCATAACGCCTTGCCATAGAGCCAGCAGAGTACGATACCGCCAAGTCATAGAGCAGACAGATACGCAGAAGAAGTCGACGGAGAGGATGGCATCCGGTACACATAAATCATGCTGTTTCAAACAGGTGAAGTAATAGTTAGTTTATCTTGCTCCGGATCCCAGCAACACGAGGCTTTACGAGCACATAACATAATGACTAATGTAGTCAGGTACGAGGTCATCTGCAATAATTATTATGTAACGTGGTTGTAAATAATTAATTTTCTATTTTTCTCCACTTTCTGGGATGATAATGTGTCAACTGTTGCTATGAAGTTGAAGTTTGGTCTTCTGTGGTGCCCTGACCAAAAATCTGGCCTGATTAGATCGGCCGTCTCTAAAGGTACAAAAATGATTGTTATCCTGCAGCAAGGGTGTTTTTGAGGCCATGAAAGTAGGTGTACTATTATGTAACATTGAGTAAAATAACTGTCTACACCCGGGAATGTCACTCACAGGCCTGTGAAAACACATTGGCAGGGTACAGGCACCAGTTCTCCGAGTGCTGCAACGGCAAACGGCATTTGAATCGACCATATCTCGGCAACATAGGTGATACGAATATTCAGAAATTGTGCTAATCTATTCAAAATTCGTCTCACTGCAATCGCCCTCCTAGGAAGCTCATCAGTATAATAATATCCTCGTGAGACGTTCTATCGAAACAGGTGTGGCAGGGACGGATGCCAGGGCGACCAACAGCAACGAAAATTGAGAACAATGGGAGTTATTGGCCATCCTTGCCCCTCGACTATAGTCGCTGTTGAACACTCCTGATAAACGAATGGATATATCGAATACAAAAGACATTTCCCAACCACATATCACCACCATGAGTTCGGAACTTTGAGGCTTACTACTTTGTAACATTGCTCTATCGATTTTAGGGGCATACACATGATAATGACCTGGGGGACGTCAACATTCACATAATTTACTAATTTCAGCCAATTTCTTCGAAATGGGCACGCTTCAACAGGCCTTGCCGACCTTCCATGACGCCAATATTTTGTCAGCTGAAGCCTCGGTGGGATAGCTCCAGACGGCCAAAAAAGAAACTTCAGGTTGGCCTCGACAGACCCAAGGAATGCATAATTCACTCAATTTTTTACATAAATGTAAAATGTTACATAATACCAGATCACCTCGTTAGTTACAGCGGTCAGCGATTGTGCATCGTTGTTTGCATGCCAGTACACACTAGCACGCTGCTCGCGAGAACCCTGGAACGCTAGCCACCTGGACAGCTCACTGCCAGCTTTGACGTTTGTTCGAAGCAACGCAGTTCCAATACTAGATTTGAGAATACGCCAGTAGGGAAACTTGGCACCACGAAGTGCGTGCTTGAACTGTTGTTATTTTTTAGCAGAGTCATTCTCCAAGACGTTCTTCACCAGAGGAAACATGTGTTCAGGGAAACCCCAGGGAAACTCCAGGGAAACCCCAGGGAAACCCCAGGGAAAACAAAAGCAAAATTCAATGGGAACAATTGAACATGCACACTTGCAGTGGCTAATCGAGTAATCGTAAAACCAAATTTGAACTTTCAATAAGTTAATAGCACCCTTCCTTAGGTTGAGAAACCTATTGCGAAGCAGGTTCCCCCCCGGGACACGCTCAAGCCGTCGTGTGTGTGTGTGTGTGTGTGTGTGTGTGTGTGTGTGTGTGTGTGCGTGTGTTTGCGTGTTTGCGTGTGTGTGTGTGTGTGTGTGTGTGTGTGTGCGTGCGCGCGTGTCGTTGCTATAAGAGAAAATCTGTGGGTGCACATCCAGTGCATTTGCAGATTTGCGTGCTTTCTCGTGCGACGGGCGTATACATGGTACATGGTACATGGTACATGGTGTGTGTGTGTGTGTGTATGTGTGCGTGCGCGCGCGCGTGTCGTTGCTATAAGAGAAAATCTGGGGTGCACATCCAGTGCATTTGCAAATTTGCGTGCTTCTCTAACGAAGGTAGACCTGGACTGACTTTTAATGATCTTCGGAATTCTCATGTCTCTGTGCCGTGTGCTCTCTCGCATGTAGCTTTCTCTGTGGCGTTTCCCTGTCTGGCGGTGGATGGCATGGCATATTTCAACTTCACTCTCAACTTCATCGTAGTGAAACACACGAAGGAGATCGGAGAGCTGGACCCTACCTGGAGCAGACAGCAGTGCAACGCATTCTTCGAGAACATCACCGATATCGACATAGACAATGCAGTGCATAATGACGAGCTACTGGGGCCAATACCCGACAAGCACTTGCACCTGAGCTTTGCCAAGGCATGTAGACACAACAGTACAGGTAGCAGTGACAGCACAGTGTCAGTGGCGACAGCAAGGTCCGACATCCCCACCGTCGCCGCCGCCGTCCCCGCCGTCGCCGCCGGCGGCAGCACCGACAGCAGCGTTGTAGTGATCGCTGTTGCCGTGAGTGTGTCCGCTACAGCCGTTCTGGTTGTCATGACAGCCACACTGTGTCTGCTACGCTGGCGGAAGGAGAAGAGATCAGTAAGTTGTACAACATTGGTATACATTAGGCAGTGGCACCTTACAGGGACATGACCTGGGCCACTTTAGCACCATATAAAGTGGGCTTTGACCCCAGGCTGTCCGCCACGGTCGTCGCCCTCGGGGCAGGACCAGTTTATTCCCCCTTGCACATGTCTGGGTCCGGGCCATGCTTGGAGTCAGCGGGTCAAGGCCACGATTGCAATAGCGTGAGTCGGATAGACCACAGACCATGAAGGACTTTAAAGGGGAAGTTAAGGCAAAAATTAAAATTTCACCAGTTGTAGTCTTCGGGGTGCTGAGTCGAATGGTCTTGGTCCGAGGAAGCTGAGACGCTCCCTTCCTACTTGAATCCCAATCGAACTCGCGCACTTCCACCGAAACTGGGTGACTGCGCCCTACGAGATGGGGATTTGTATGCAAAATGTCACTAAAAGCGCCATTTCGTTCTTATAAAAGCACGGATGACCGCGATTGGCCCATATGTTGTAGTCTTTTGGACGCTGAGTCGACTGGTTTTGGTCCGAAAAGGCTGCGATGTAGCGTTCCTCCTTTATTCCCAATCGAACATGGTTGAACAAGCGGTCACGTGCTCCTGCGTACACCAGTCACCTGGTCACCGTGCCTGCAGGGTACAACTTACTAGCCTGTTTGACCTTTTTTGGATGCACTCCTGTCACTCGAGTTGAACCTTGGTGTGAAATTTGTCGCCTGCTGGCGTGGTGACCAGGTGATTTGGGCACCCAGGAGCACGTGACCGCTTGTTCAGCCATGTTCGATTGGGAATAAAGGAGGAACGCTGCATCGCAGCCTTTTCGGACCAAAACCAGTCGACTCAGCGTCCAAAAGACTACAACATATGGGCCAATCGCGGCCATCCGTGCTTTTATAAGAACGAAACGGCGCTTTTAGTGACATTTTGCATACAAATCCCCATCTAGTAGGGCGCAGTCACCCAGTTTCGGTGGAAGTGCGCGAGTTCGATTGGGATTCAAGTAGGAAGGGAGCGTCTCAGCTTCCTCGGACCAAGACCATTCGACTCAGCACCCCGAAGACTACAACTGGTGAAATTTTAATTTTTGCCTTAACTTCCCCTTTAAAACCTTGGTTTGAGAGGCGCATCGTTTCGGGTAATAGGCCTCATGTGATCTCTCTAGTACCTGCATGCTGCGGCTCTACCCTATTGATACATACAACGGTCCGCATAACCTTGGCCAAGAATAACTGGCATCATTTTTGAAGAAAGATTGACCCTTAGCGATTCTGTACCTCAGCTCTTCCAATATTGCCAGTACGTATCGGAAGTCTAACTGTTCACACAGATAACATGCGACGTAACCTCCCTACTGTCTATGCAATGTTTCATGAATACATTTCGACTTTGTGCACGTTTACTTGTATTTGTTCAGACGGCACAGCTGAAGCGAGGGCTGCAACCCCCCTCTTCACTGTTTTGCTCCCCTGAACTGATGACCTGTGGCATGATCGCTGCTCTTGAGTCTCCATATAAGGTAAGTAGGGGGCGTAGCTGGTCCCCTTTTTTTGGGGGGGGGGGGGGAGTGCATGGCCGCATATGTGTAAGATGGCTGGTGCATGTCATTCATGGTTATTATGTGATCCAAGGTCGACCTTTTTAGGGGGCGGGGTTGCACATGCTCCCCATGCTCCAAGCGGGTTACGCGCCTGGACTAAGGATGGGGAGAACAGACAAGCAATACGTGTTGTGCACTTTATTCTGGCGTGTCCATTTCTGCTTTATCATATTTGCCGTACTTCTCCAATTATAAGTTTCACGAGATTGAAAGTCGCATTCGATTATACATGTACGTGTCACCACACCATTCAGGGTTGAGGCGCTTTATTTCAATTCACAAAAGTAACAGCCGCACGCAATTGATTGCAAGTCGCACATCCCCTTCCTTGGCCGAGAAGTTTTACTTTAAACACAAAATTGTGTGACCTACTGTAAAAGCAGAAATTTTCGGTGGTGTTTTATTTTCGGTAATTTCGGTGCCAAAATTTTTACCGAAAATAAAACGCACCGAAAATGTCGGTATAGTACTAGTACACTTACCTGGAACGCAGGTTTACCGAAAATTTCCCTCTGCCGAACCGCCGATTTTGGAGAATACCGAAAATTTCTGCTTTTACAGTATAATCAGGAAAATAGTAGTAGTCACTAGGGGACTCCCAACAGGCGGGGTCACCTGACAGGCGGGGTCACCTGACAGGCGGGGTCACCTGACAGGCGGGGTCACCTGACAGGCGGGGTCACCTGACAGGCGGGGTCACCTGACAGGGAACACTATAGCTAGGTGTGATAGCGAAACTCACCGGCGGACCTAGCGTAGCCTGAGTATGCAATGGAACTGCCGGTTGTGCTAACAGCGAGCTCCTGGCCTGGAACCACCTGGGGTGGAATGGATGCAGGCAGCAGGGTCTCCCTCTTTGACAACTTTAAAGTAGGTTTGATCTACGCAGCTCCCTCGGCTTTAGGAGCTGCATCTGCACCATCTGCAACTTGGTCCTGGAGGGTCTTGGCATTCGTCTGGATGTGTGAAACTCAGGCCATCATATTTCCACCCAAACAGTAAAATCAAATAATACACATGTACATTCGGCCAACGCACTCCAATAACAAACCTGTTTTTCACTCTGTCTCTCTTTCCCGCTCTCATTCTCTCTCTCTCTCTCTCTCTCTCCTCTCTCTCTCTCTCTCTCTCTCTCTCTCTCTCTCTCTCTCTCTCTCTCTCTCTCTCTCTCTCTCTCTCTCTCTCTCTCTCTCTCTCTCTCTCTCTCTCTCTCTCTCTCTCTATCTATCTATCTCTCTCTATCTTTCTTTCTCTCTCTCTCTCTCTCTCTCTCTCTCTCTCTCTCTCTCTCTTCTCTCTCTCTCTCTCTCTCTCTCTCTCTCTCTCTCTCTCTCTCTCTCTCTCTCTCTCTCTCTCTCTCTCTCTCTCTCTCTCTCTCTCTCTCTCTCTCTCTCTCTCTCTCTCTCTCTCTCTCTCTCTCTCTCTCTCTCTCTCTCTCTCTCTCTCTCTCTCTCTCTCTCTCTCTCTCTCTCTCTCTCTCTCTCTCTCTCTCTCTCTCTCTCTCTTTGGCTGTTTGTTCTCACTGCACCTACAGATCATCTCTCCGTCCATATTGGACATTGGTGAGAGGGTTGGTGGAGGTCGGTATGGTGTCGTCTACAAGGCCACTATGACGAAGAATGCCAACATACCAGGAATGGAGAATCGTGAATCCCAAGTTGTGGCCGTTAAGAAGATTAAGGGTGAGTGGTAGGCGCACCACACCCACAATTTTGAGCCCCGAAAATTTCTGTAATTACAGTAGAGTATCCAAATTTTGATTTGAAGGATCTTCAATATCCGAATTGACAACTGCGCGTGACAGAAGTGGAATTCCTAGCACCGGTTTACCAAGCAAAGTTTTACATCTGTTGTGATGTATCTGGGTTTGCAATTTTGGTTTTGAGATCTACGGCCTTTCATCTGGTATGCTTCGAAGTAGAACTATCTATTATAGAAGTGATTCAGTTTGCACTTGAAAATTTTTTTCAAGTGCAAGAAATACGCTGCAATGGAGTTTGGGAATTCTGAAGAAACGTTTTAATTCAGTTTGAACGAGAAATAATAATACAGAAGGACCTCGTACTCGCGCGATAAGAACTCTCTCTCTCTTGAATAGTGCTCTATCTCGAGTAGTGGCCCAGTCTCTAAGAGCCAGTGAAAAAATATATCCCTTTTTTTAATAGTGCCTCCCTGGCTTGTAACCGAGCGCATATGCAGGTTTGGTGTTCTTTGGCCGAGTACTGTTCTTGTCCATCTCATTGCACTGGTGGTTTCAGGATCAAAATCGCAGTTCTTGTTGCCGTTTCTGTTGAGTCGTGATAGTTCACAGTTGGCTTCTTTTTGTTTTAAATGCTGGACGATGAAAAGTGCCAGCATTGAAAAATAGTGCCCTCTCTTGAATAGTGCCCTCTCCTGAATAGTGCCCCATCTGTGATGGGCATTGAAAAACATAGTGCCCAAGGGTCACTTATCGTGCCAAGTACGGTATTCACTTATGAGCCTTGCTTAGATTGATGCTATGTGCCTTCTCTTCTTACTTCTTTCTTCTTCAACTGCATGTTGTGTCTTCAGCTTCCACAGAAAGTCAAACAGCCATGGAAGGACTCTATGCTGAGTTGATCCTCATGGAAAGCCTTGAACACCATCCCAATGTAGTCGCTACTCTGTTTGGTGGTCTACTTCTAGGTAAGGCTCTGGGTGATGGGGTTTCACACCTGCGAGGCCTGCGTGGAACAAAGCAGCTTTCCATTCATTGCTAACTGGTGTTGTGAGTCTCCAGGGTGACAGGCTGAACCGATTGCCTATTGCCTTAGACTCATACCTCGTCTATCCGGGCGGTCCGGGACTGGGCACTGCCCGTAACATTGAAATGTCCGTAACTCCGAATCACGTGCATTTTGATCGGGAAAGGCCATGGATAATATGGCATAATTATGACATCAGTATTTACACCAAAAGTGACAAAAAGAGTAGTAATATTTCCACTGGAACTCGCCCAAAGGGTGTCCGGTAGACCGAAGTACCCGTAACTTCGGGGTCCGGATAACCGAGATATGAGTGTTTACTGAATGTATGTGGACGGGGTGCGTTTGTGTACTGCCATGAATCGATTCATGAATGGAATCCCGTCGTTCGAAATGAGCCCTGGAATCGGTTCGTAATCGATTCATCCTATTCACATCAGGTGATGAGAATGGTCAGGGGCTATTGATGAATGGATTCGAATCGATTCCCGGGAAAAATCGAACGCACTCACTGACTATACGTGGACTGTGCTGTTGCTGACATCTGTGTCTGCAGGCAGTCCGTGTATAATCATGGAGTACATGTGTGGTGGAGATCTCCACTCGTACCTCCGTCGACTCAAGTCCACCGTGGTGGTGTTGAAGAACGTCGAAACTATCCTACCGCTCTCGAAGATCACCGATGTTAGTCTTCAGGTGGCCAAAGGCATGGAGTTCCTGGCGGAAAAGCAGGTATGTTGTATCCGGACCTGTAAACAGTGGTATAGACCACGTGTTTTGCCAGGGGATTTCAGATTTCTATTTTACTAACGGGGTTTATGTACTAACTGGTCTCGTTATAACGAGGCAGGACCTGTATATCAAGAAGCTATGTTGCTTGCATAGTCAAACCTCCAACCCAGATGTTTGTTGATTGATATGCAACTACCTACTTTCCTCAGGCTGTGTGTAAATGTCATTTGCTAACTACTGTATAGCAGGAAATTTTCGGACGGAATTTATTTTCGTACGATTTCGTACACAGCCTCTTTTGTACTAAAATTAATTCCGTACTAAAATTTGCTGTTATGTACACTATACATGTACATGCGCGTCGCATGCAAACACGTGCATTTAGCATGAAGCACTGTACGAAAATAAAATCCGTACGAAAGGTCGAAAATCGGCTTTGTCCGAAAATATTTCCGTCCGAAAATTTCCTGCTATACAGTATTCACTTTATTCAGAGCTTCCTCAACAACTCAAACATTCACATGGCACTGATCAGCGTTATGGTTCTAGTCATACTGTGGATGTTAAATTTTGCCTGGTGGTGCCCGTAGACCTTTTGATTACACTGGGCTGAAAATCTGATTTTCTCAAATTTAGCACTTATCTGACAATCGGAATAGAACCATTTCAAAACTGGAACCCAAAAATGGATTACGATACAAACTGCACAAAAAGTGAATCCTTTTTGGCCATTATCCGAAAAGTAATGAAATGCATTTTAGTGGGCTTTCCAGCTCTTCGCACAAACGTCACATGATGTAGTGATCCCGTGTGAGCGACTGTATTGCCGTACACACCGACTGGTCTTAGGTGGAGAACATGTGTATGAAGCTTCGACGCCTAATACCAGGTGTTGTCAGGAGGGGTAGGCGACAGTGAGCGGGTGAGGCCGCTTGATCTCGCACCACTGCAAGAACGTTACCTGAACAGCAAAGACCCATGCCACGGCCTCATGCTCTCTCTGTGCCTCTGTCTCTCTGTCTGTTCCTCTGCCTGTCGCTGTCCCTCTGTCTCCGTCAATCAGGCTGTTTCTCTCTCATTACGAGAGCTGCAGTTCCCATAACATCATGTGTGTACGTGTGTGTGTATGCACGTGAGTATTTTAGTGTTCTGATGCGTCTGTGCTGGTGTTTTGATGCGTTTCTAGATTGTCCATAGAGACTTGGCAGCGCGGAACATCCTCATCCGAGAGCTCTCCGAGGAGTTTCTTGAAGCAAAGATATCGGACCTTGGTCTGTCCCGGAAACTGTTTGATGATCAAATGTACCACTCCAAAACCCCTGTAAGCACCATTACTGGTTGTTTGAAAATTGAATCACTTCTCCACGACTAGAAACTACACTTTGAATAACAGTTAGTATGCTGTCTGTCCAACGAGCAGGTGTTATTGTTCTGTTATGTGTTTCTTGGAGGTTATCTTCATTTTAACGTGCAAGTTGTTTACACGCAACTTCGGACCACTACTCGACTAGTGTGTGTGTGTGGGGGGGGGGGGGTGCGCGCACGCATGCACGTGCACATGGGTGTGATCATACGTGTGTGTACCGGTATTATGTGAATGTGTGTGTGTGTGTACACGCGTGCGTGCGTGTGTGTGCTCATACGTGTGTGTATGTATGCGTGTGTACATAAGTGGGTATACCCAGGTTTCAACAGTGCTCAACACCACAGGGGCGGAGCGTAACCACAAAGGTCAAAAAGAATGGTTTCACCAATTACAGAAACATACGTTGTAACGCTGCATTTCATGCACGTAGCTAAATGCTAAGGCAATCGTCAGACAACTAATGCTTTTGTCGCGGGATAGCTTGTTCTAATTGTGGGGGATACGCATGGGCATGTAGAGGAGGTGTGAGTTATCACTGCAGGGCATGCATGGGAAGAGCGAGTGATAATAATTACATCACTGGATGGGCATGCGCAGTAGGCGCGAACTATGCATGGAGCGTGCAGAGGCGGAGAAACCACCAGGCAGGACAAGGGTAAGCCATGGGGGAACTGGGCAGGGGGTGTGATGTGTGGCGGTGGAAGCACACTGTGGTGTCCACATTCAACAGCCGCGGATATTCAGAGGATGTGGCGGTGATAGTGGTAGCACGCGGTGGCTATGTCACGCCAGAGTGGGTGGAGAGGTAGAACTTGTTTTGGTGTCTGCACTTTGATACCAACTCCGACCTCTTGTTGAGCAGAGTGTGAGGCGTCTTGAAGGTGATGATGCGCAACTTTTCTGCTAAACACAAGCAGCACCTTTTGGATATGTTGCTGTAGGACTTGGCCCGATCTATGACTGCCCATTTGATACTGTATCCCTCACCTTGGTCAGCCAGCGCCCATGTGTGCTTGGATAGCTCGGTCTTGGTACGGTACTTTTCATGCCGCATGCTGGTTAGATGGTTGCCATAGCGCACCTTGAAGGGCGTCTCGCACAGCATGCGGCATGAACAGTACCGTACCAAGACCGAGCTATCCAAGCACACATGGGCGCTGGCTGACCAAGGTGAGGGATACAGTATCAAATGGGCAGTCATAGATCGGGCCAAGTCCTACAGCAACATATCCAAAAGGTGCTGCTTGTGTTTAGCAGAAAAGTTGCGCATCATCACCTTCAAGACGCCTCACACTCTGATCAACAAGAGGTCGGAGTTGGTATCAAAGTGCAGACACCAAAACAAGTTCTACCTCTCCACCCACTCTGCACGCTCCATGCATAGTTCGCGCCTACTGCGCATGCCCATCCAGTGATGTAATTATTATCACTCGCTCTTCCCATGCATGCCCTGCAGTGATAACTCACACCTCCTCTACATGCCCATGCGTATCCCCCACAATAAGAACAAGCTATCCCGCGACAAAAGCATTAGTTGTCTGATGATTGCCTTAGCATTTAGCTACGTGCATGAAACGCAGCGTTACAACGTATGTTTCTGTAATTGGTGAAACCATTCTTTTTGACCTTTGTGTATGTGTGTGTATATTATGTGTGCATGGGTGTTCTTAGAGAGCTTTACCACTGAAGTGGATGGCACCAGAATGCATCAAGGATGGAGTGTTCAGCAGCAAGAGCGATGTGTGAGTTGAAAGCATGTTTTTACTGGCTATATGCCACCCTGGCGTTTAGCGTAGATTTCACTCAGACTGCTTGAACTTACAGCGGGGCTGAGTGCATTTGGTGAGCACTTTAGAACAGGTGCCCTCATTTGACCACTAATGATTGATAGATAACGAGAACCTGTTTCAATTTATTCTACTCTTATTCACACTTGTGGGATTGCATGATGTACAGCGATGCCCTATGAAATCGAGTCACGCGAGTCAAGTTTGCGTTTGATTTCATCGAGCAGCACTGTAGAAATTCCTGTTCTGGTTTGGCTGTATGTTATATTATTCACAGCTGGGCCTTTGGAGTTCTGCTCTGGGAGGTGTTGACCAGTGGTAAGGAACAACTTGTTCGTGTTGCCGAGTGGTGTTCTGGCTGCGGTGTGTCTGTCTTCATCCTATTCTATTAACTCTGCGGTTCTTCCTCTCTCTCCCACTCGGTCTCTCTCTTTCTCTCTGTCTCCATCTCTGTTTCCCCATCCCTCCCTCCCTCCCTCCCTCTCTCCCTCCCTCCTTCCTTGTGTGTGTGTGTATCTGGGGGGGGGGGGGGGGGTGCTCAAATTTAAACACAATACCACGAGTTTGAAGAAGGGCTAGTATGTTTGTATTTATTCCCAATGCTCAATTATTCACGCCCGGTTTCATGTGGATGTGTGTGTGTGTGTTCATGTGGATGTGTTTGTTCATGTGGATGTGTGTGGATGTGTGTGGATGTGTGTGGGCATGTGTGTGGGCATGTGTGGATATGGGTGTATGTGGATATCGTGTGTGGATGTGTCCTGCTAGGTGAGATGCCCTACAGCAATATACCAGTGTTCATGCTGCTCACGTCGTTCGACCAGGGAAAACGACTACACCGTCCGCAGTCATGCCCCGATGAACTGTAAGCAGTTGCATTTTGCGATCAAATATAATTCTCTACATGTATATGCCTCATCAGCAGTGCTGCCAAATCGTCCAAATTATCCGACATCCGTTCGAAAATTCGCCGTTCGTCGGAACGCCAATATGAAAAATCACCCTTCTAATTTTGACTAAAACGCATGGTACCGTGTATTTCAATGGGATTGCATCAAGGTAAATGGTCAGGAAAGTATAGTATTGCTTTGAATTTGGTGTCTGGAAAAGTTATTCGATGTTGGCATGAGAATGGCACGTGCCCCCCCCCCCTCCCCCCACCCGCAACACCCTCTTTCCTTAGCACTCTATATCTTCTAGGCTGCAGTGGAGTATGCAAATTCTTTGAAAAGCAATCCTTTTTCTGAGTTCGGGTGCACCTGCTTTGGATTCTGCGCCAAACCTTACGTAGCGAAGCTATACTATCATGAAAACCACATGCTGTTAAACGAGGAAATTTGGACAGTGTAATGTTTTCGGTATTTCCCAAAATAAA